TAAAATTATATTTGTGTAATGAAATCAGTAATCATCTACTATAACGAATAATTCGTTAATGCTATAACGAATTATTCATTATACATACCGCATAATTCGTTATAGCGTTAACGAAGATTCTTATAATGAAATCCTGATCGGCTAGATCAACAACTTCGTTATATTGAGATGTGACTGTATTTCACAAAAGAGAGAGTCAAAATATATACACCATAAAAGAAATGATATAACTTCTTTTTGGTTAATACCAATCTTAACATCATAATAGTCAAAAATGCCATCTTGAGTGAAAATAGCATTTCTTCTATTTGTAAATATATTGATAAGACAGAATATACAGTTTTCTGAGATTTTAATTCTTCTAAGAGCAAGTTTAAGTATATTAAGATCCACTCTATCATACGCTTTAGATAAGTCTTACAAATGAATCCATAAATCTTTTTTGTTTTTAATAACATCTTCTATAATAATATTCATTATTTTAATTGGGTCTTCTGTTATGCCTTTAAGGAGACTAGCATAATTATTTCCTTTCAGAATATTGTGTTTAGCTAGAGTTTTTAAGAGACAATTTGTGATGATTTTAACAAAAGCTTTTCTAGTAGTTTCTAATAAGGTAATTAGACGAATTTTATGATATCACAATCCCAATCAATAGGTTTAAGGATTGGATAGATATAAGCTATCTTCCATTCTGATAGAATATTACTAAGCTCAATACACATTCTAATAAGTTTTCAAAGAAGGCGTTGCATATTGTGACCTAAATGTTTGATTATTTTATTATGAATTCCTGATAGACCAGCAGCCTTGTCATTAGAAAGTTGAAAGATGACTGAGAACCATTCTTTTATAGTTGATAGTTACATAATATTGTTAAATAATTTATCATTGACATAATCTTTTAGTTGATATTAATTGATTCATCTTCTAAATAAAGGAGTAGCAGATATATCAGGAATCGCATAATTTTGAAAATGAATAATAACATATTGTTTGATTAAGTTAGGATTACTAACAAGAGTATATTATCCTTCATTATCTTTAATGATTAGTCGATCTAATATGATGGTTTTCTTTGATTGTCCTAAAGCTGATTGAATCATTTTACCTGAATTTGATTCATAGTATAAGCAATGTTGATCAATGAAGTATTTGATTTGTTATTTTGAAATTTTTTCCTCTTCTATCCTAGATAAAGCTTTAATATTGTAATAAAATTTTAATAATAATTTCTGCATTTCTTTAACATTAAGTTCAGTTATAAATTCAGGTAATAAGATAGAGGAAAGTTTTGTTGATTTCAAAATATATTTAATGCTTTCTATATCAGCAATCCATTCATCTCCTATAGGCCAAGTTTTCAATTTCACTTTAGCAGATCTGAATTTGAGAACTATTTTGTTAAGTAATTTAAATAATCATAGAAAGTAACTACAGTCAACTCTTGTTATAACGAACTCTATATTCTAGACCTCAACTTCGCTATAAGGCTATAGTGAAGATTTTAAGAGATTTGATTGGCCAATTCGCTATAACAAGAGTATTTTTATTATATTTGTTCAAAAAATTCGTTATATCAAGAGTTCGCTATATCAAGAGTTGACTGTAGTTCTTTCAGTTTAGATGTCTTTTGATTAGTAGAAATCTATTTGAATAGAATATTTTTAGTAGCAGCATTCATAATAGCATTTCTAATTTGTTTTCATATATAATTCATGTTAGAGTGAAAAGGTAAAAGAAAGTGAAGTTTATCTATCTTGTGTTATTTAAATTGTATGTCTGTAGCTTTTACAAATAAGTTTCATCTTTGTTGATTCATCAGAGTAAAATTGAATTTCTTTCTTTTAGTATTATTACATCTTGCATATGCTTTTTGTTTTCCAATAGGATTTGTAAAAAATGCAGTAACTATTTTGTAATCAGACTTGTATATAAGTGGTTTTAAAATATCACAATAAAGAAAAATAGTCATGAAATTAGCAGGCATAAAGATCCCATGAAGTCTTTTAAGAATGGAAGCTTTGATTGAACTTTGTGATAAAAAAAAGGTAGATAGGATAATATTATTATTGATTAATTGAAGGTCAGTGAAATTTTTATGTGATAGTTTCTTCACAAGATCAAATTACTAACCTAATTTTAAATTGAATTTAAAGCGTTTATGATAATCATCTATGTTTATATTAAAATCCCTCATCAATATTATATGATGTTGTTGTTTGTTACATTCATCTAATATATCTAAGATTTGTCTTTAAAGAAGTCTTTTATCATGTCTACTTTTAGAATCCTTTAAGTTTGCATAGATATACACAGGTAAAATGCTGCCAAATCGGACACTATCCTGATTGGTGACTTTTTTTTATCGGTCATCTGACTTGGTTAATAAATAAAAATCAGTGATATTTCCAATCAGATATCAATCAGTTTGATTTCCAAATGATAACCGTGGTTATGATCGGCAATTATACTTATTAGTCAAATTAATAAAATTGGTATAAATAGGATAATCCTGATTGATCACTTTTAAAATTAAATTTAAAATAACATTACTAATACTAATTAATATTAAATAAATTAACAATACATACTATTATATATAGAAATGTCTATTTATTGGAATAACCGCCATATATTTAGTTTTTTTTCTTGTACCTACTGAAAAGTCTATAGGAATAAAGCGACAATAAATGTTATGAATAGGTATGATTAAATCTCTACTGATATTATAAAAATTATGCTTTCATAGTTTTATATTACAGCTTTCTACATCATTATCATTAATTCGGCATTGGAATCTTATTTGATAATTCAGAAACGGCAGGAACCATTTAACATAAGCTAACCAATGTGTTTATTTTCTATTGGAAAATTGGACTTTATGCTTGAAGAAATATTAGACTTGACTAGAAAATATTTCAACAGCATCATTTCTTATACAAATTTAGCAAGAATAAACGAGTTTTTCAAATATTTAAGGATATTTGCTGATCCAAAGACTTCAGCACCGATCTGTAATCTCCTATATTAATTGATTTTGGTATTATAACAATTGACTGATCTGAACTTTGCCGCATTTGAATTAATCCAGAAATAGTTGTAAATATTGCATCATATGCGTTATTATAATAATCTACCAAACAATTATATATTTCGTCTGAAAGGTCTACATCCATTCTTTTAGATACTAGCATTTTACCAGGAAAATATTCATTACCAGTTATTGTTTCTTCGACTTGTAAATTATATATTTGTACAAATCGACGTAGTTCATCAAATTCAAAATTATTATAAGCCGCTAAGCTACCAGTTGTTAATCGAGGTTGTATTAACTTAAGTCCATTAGAAAGTTTCTGATTATCTGAGTGTATAGATAGAATGTCATCCAATCGCCAGTTTGGTATAATTATACGTAAAAGTTCCAGCTCAATCTGGCGTTGGCTATTTGGAAATGATTCTAAAATAATTGAATTTATTATTTGATAGACAATTTTTTACAGTATTTAAATATAAACAAGCATAAATTTTATGAATCAGTATATAGAGGAATTATCTAAAATACTATTCATCCTTTCAAATGAGTAACACCAAAAGGAGTATAATGGTCCATAATCTTAGCAACATTCAGCCAGATGGAGAGAGAGGTGAATATTCAGTGTTATCACCTCAGATCCATAATTTTCTTCTATTAATAGAGCAACAGACAACAATTAAGTATGTGCTTCATTTAACATATTATCGTTAATAATTCGAGATACTAATAAATAGCATGCTCTAACAAAATTAGCTAATATTTGCTGATTGGTGACATCTAAAAAATCCCACATAATTGGAATAGCATAAAACATAATAAATGTCTTTCACTGATCAACCGTAAATCCAGAGAATCCCTCTCCAGTTGTCATTTTACAAGGGACTCTTCCTAAGTCTGCTGGTATGTGAATTTTTTTAGCACGTTTGTCCATTAACTCAAGATTTGCTTTAGAGATTTTACCACTATCAATCCATAACCTTTTTACAATCCAATGTGTAATTCCTAAAAATAGATTATGCATCGGATCTATAACAAGATGCCTTATTGAATAGTGATAAGGAAGACGAAGCAGTTCAGATCATCTAACATGAGTCCTACTAACATGCAATTTTCTATCTTTCTTTGTTTGCTGATGTTTCCAAATAATAGCATTAGTCCAATGTTCAATTGGATTCTTCATTATAAACCATTTATCCATATCTCCAAATCCTTCAAAATTAGCCCTTTGGCCTTCTTCTCCATCAGCCCTTTTGTAACATCGATGACATTCAGCTAGGCTGATATATAACTACATAGTTTTCTAGCAGCTGGTATGTCATTTGAACAACAAATTATTGCCAATCTGATTTATTTACTAGTAAGATATTTATTGATAACTGATAGGTCGACACTTTTCCAAAATTTCAGTAACTCATCAACTATTAGCGTGAGATAATGGTTTATTTTATGAAGTTTGACTTCGTTAGATCCTGGCAGTAATGCTAATGTTAACATATTTTCTTTTTTAAACCTTATTTCACAGGGTAGGTTACAGATTACACCATAAATTGCTTCACAACTGTATGCTGATAACTCAAAGGGCTGAAACTAATCTAAATTGATTATAATACCTAGATGAATTTCGGCTGTTTCATATGAGAAAAATTGGGAAGCATCTGGAATGTCTAATCGTGATGGAAATGTTTTTCATACTTCTCCTTCATAAATATCTAACATCATACCAGCTTCAACATTTCGATTAGTCCATTTTTTCAAATTCTGTTCAAAACCTGATCTTTGATATATTGTGACTAATTGAGTCTTTAAAGATGGTAATATGTATATCATTTTTGGATGCCAAACATGACCTTTAACTGCTGGAACCTTTTTTAATAGTTCTGATCTACAAGGTTTGCGTTAGCTTTGCATTGGATGACTAGGAAATTCAATATGATTACATTTGAATCCAGTAAAATTAGTATTATCTTTAATTATTTCATTGATATTATACAATTTATTGCAATCCGGACATACTGCAAATATTTTTGATTTTTTTTTAATGTCAAATAATTTACGTGTCATATAAGCGGTCGAAGGAAAATTTTTAAATCTTTGTGAATTAGCATCTTTTAAAACAAGATCAAAAAACCTAATTAACGCATTAAGTGCAATATCTGGTAGCTGAAATCTTTCTTGGTATTTAAATATCCATAAAAGTATTCACAAGTCATTATAATTATCTGTTTAAAGACTTGGTCCATCATCGAAATCATCAAAATTAGGAGCTGTGAATAAATCAACTGGAACATCTTCATTTAGCATATATTTTTCATCAATTTTCTCATCAACCAAATCCTCATTAACTGAATCCTCTTTATCACTAGAAGAGTTATATGATTGATTGGAATCAATAATTTCTTCATTAGGTTTTCTATAGTGATCAATCCTCTTTCTTTTCTTAATGGAATAAGTATTATGATTTCTTTGTTTTCACTAGATATATGTGAGTCAGGTTCAATATACGCAATATCTTCTACCTTTTTACAATGCATTATATTTATAGATGATATTCCTTCTTCAATTGGATCATGTTCTATCTTAAATAGTTGAGATATAGGATGTATATCAGAAGATACTGCAATTTTTGATCTGTATGATTCAGAAAAATAAGCTTGAAATTGGTTTTCTTCCTTTTCATGTTTATTTCATGTTCTTGGATCAACCATTTTTCCTCTACATTTTTTATAATGACATTTAACTTTATTTCATACTCTAGTAGAAGTTTCTTTAACAGTATTATTTCTTGACATTTTTTATTAAAGAGATTGGTAAATCGGATAGCATATAAAAAAAACACGTACATTTATATAGAAATATTTATCAAAAGTTTAATTAAAGAATTAATACATAATATTGGCCATTTAGTATATCATATGCAAAAGTTTATTTTGACTTCAAGAATAAACTTTTAATAGTTAAACAATAAAGGTTTATTATATAAAATGCTTTTT